AGTACGTCCAATTTAAGATGGCCGCCAGAGCTAATCAACCTTGGAACAGGTGGCTCTCACGCGCTCATTTTTACAGATCACGAGCTAAACTCTGCAGTGGTAGTAGCTGAGAGTCGTCCACTGTCTTCATCCAGATGTGCCTCTGGAGATGTTCCGCGCGTGTCCAGGTGTGAGCTCCACCTGAGATCATCCAGCAGCACCAACTTTTCCTGAAGGACGCAACATGCGCGCACGGATGCGTCACTCAGGTAGGCGCGCGTGACCTTTCCTCCGACTGGTTCTGCGTCCTGCAGGTTCGGGTCGGTGCTGCAGCTGGTTCTGACGCGTCCTGCGGCGTGGACTCACCGGATCAGGTTGTTGTGGGTCTGCGGCAGAACCTCTGCGGTCCACATCAATCCGCTGCGCGAGGCTGCGTGCGCGGCGGTTCGGGAGGTTCGGTCCGCTTCCTGTCAGGTGCAAACAGACGTGATGCGGAGAAACACGCAGAGCCTCACCGGCGAGGAGAACCGATCGCTCCTCCGGCGCATCTTCCTCCTCCTCCTCCTCACGACCGGTTTGGGCATGCCCAGTCCCTGCCTCCTCCTCCTCCTCCTCGCATGAAGAGGAAGATCACATCCTGCTCCTCACCGTTAAAATTCTTCACGAGTATAAGAATATGGAGCTCCATGAGTGCAATAAAAATAAAAAAAGACGTTCCGCCTCCGCAGGTTTCAGCCTGAATGAACTGTTTCTGATTGAACAGTTTCATTTTTGATTTAACAAACATTTGATGCAGGACGATTGGAATCAGAAGCATTTGCACTGTGTGTGTGTGTGTGTGTGGGGGGGGGGGGGGTCCTCCCCCAGAAAGTGTTGAATAAAGATGTATTTTAACAGGTTGTTTAACATCTAGATTTATCTACAGAAGTAATAACTTGATTCAATAACTATAGAGAGCAACAAGAACCTATAGAGAGCAACAAGAACCTGACCAACAGCTCTCCTTGTGTGAATAGAGCACGCTCTGCTTCTCTCAAGCATCCGTAGCCCCCCCATTGAAAACCGCCGGAACTAACGTAGCACTAAGACCGCGGCGCCAGGGCTTAATCTGAGCCAGATCCTTATTTTGACAGGGTGCACTAAGCTGGCACAAAACGGAGGTCCCCCCCCCCCCCACACACACACACACACACCCAACGCCCTGCCAAGGCAGATGACCTCTGGGAGACACTGCATGGAGTTGTTGGTAACCAGGAAAACCCGGAGTGGACTTTTACTGGTTTGAGTATTCTCCTACTAATCAAGTGGGATGGATTCATTCAAGAAGAAATAGAAACCACTGGGTGAACTAATATTTCATGGTGTGTGTGTGTGTGTGTGTGTGTGTGTGTGTGTGTGTGTGTGTGTGTGTGTGTGTGGGTGGAGGGGGGAGTCAGAATATTTTTTAAATGTGGGGGGGCACGTCCCCTTCACATATTGTTGCGATGTCTGTGACGACTTGCAGCCGTAAAAATGCACCAAAGATGCTGAAGGATTTGATCAAAACAAAATCGTCTAAATGTTTTTAAATCTTTCTCTGTCTGTTTTTCAGCTCGTAACTCGATCAGCAGTTTCTGATTTATTTCAACGATTCGTGAATCAAAACATTCGGCTCATTCGGGACATTCCTGCTCCGACTTTTGGTTTCTGTGCAAGTTTGACATTTTGAAGTTTATCTTTGTCCGCCATGTTTTTCTTATTGAAAATAAACGAAGCTCTTCACATCCTCGTTTCGGCTTTTCTTCTGCTTCAGCTTTTTCAGCTTCCTTTAGCTCTTTTTTTTTTTTTTTTTTTTTTTGGTTTATTCCAGTTTCTGCTTTCTCAGCTACACTTCAACTATTTTTCTGCTAACTTCAGCTTTTTGACTATGTTTTAGCTCATTTCAGCTTTTGCACTCCTTTCAGCTTCTTTCTGCTAAATTCAGCTTCTTCGTGTTAATTTAATCTTCCTTTAGCTCATTTCTGCTCCCGTCAGCTCATTTCACCCTTTTCAACTATTTTCGGCTCCTTTCAGCTTTTTTCTGCTAACTGCAACTTTTCTCTGCCTTCCAGCTACATTTTACACATTTTTTTTTGCCAGTTTTAGCCACTGCTATGTTTTGCTGATTCATTCATTTTGGTCTTTTTTAAGCTTTTTTTTCTGCTCATTTCAGTTTCCCTTTTTGGTGCTGTTTTCAAATTTGTAGTCAGGCTGTTTCAGCTCATTCTGCTCATTTCTGCAGCAGTTCTGCTCTATTCAGCTTTTTCTGCACATTTCAGCAGCTCTTCAGCAAATGTCAGCTGTTTAAATTCAACTCTCATCAACAGGTTAGAGATGAGACATTTCAGCTGCTTTCAGCAACAGAAGTATTTCAGCATTCACGCTGTTTCACAGGAAGTTTTCTCTCGTTTATATTTATTTAATCATGTTTAATACATCTGTCTTTTGTTTTTAAATCGCTTATTTTTAATCTCTTTTTATTCTGTCCTACAATAAAAACCCTGATTATTAATAATAAACGGAAGAAAACATAAATCTCTGGAGGGTTCAGACTTTGTCCAGCAGGGGGCGCAGTCATTTGATAAATCTCAGGAAAAAGCTGCAATTTATTCAGTTCTATTATTTGTGAACCCAAAAGAATAAAAGTAACGTTGATTTGATTTAATTAAACTTGTTTTTACACCATAAATGAAGATTTTAAAGCACATTTAGTCACCAACAGTTAAATTAAGCTGAATAGTGTCCCCACAGTTTGATTTAACTGATAGAGGATCAGTTTGTCCAGCTCTTTCACAAACTTTAATCTCTCACATCTTTTTGGTTGACTGCTTCGATTGTTCTCCGACCTGCAGAACCAAAGAACGAGAACATTTAAACACTGACGTGTCACGCGTGTCCAAAATTCAGCCATTCCGTGTTTAAAATAAAACAGTTACAAGACGGGCTTTTCTTAAACACACAAATGTTTTATGAACCTTTATCCCAGAACAAGTTATTTTAGATATTTGCAGTTAATCTGCTTATTTATGTCGGTGTTGCAGTTTAAATAGAAAAACGTAAATACTAAATATATTTAAAGTGACTTTTTTTTTTTATCTTAAATGAAACTGCAGACAAGGAATAATTTGAAATATAAGTTTCTCTAAAAAAATAAAATAAATCAGGTGTTTATTCAAGAAATAAATAAAGCTCTCAGGACATCATTACCTGCAGTGTCCCCTCAGTGGACTGAACTAGACAAAAGGACCTTCTCCTGCTCCGCTCCTGTTTCCTGGAACATCTTGTAAAAAGATCTGAAGCTCTCGACCTTTGACCTCTCTAAGTGGCTTCAAACATCTGTTGAACTGAGTCCTCGAGGCTCAGTGGGATTAACCTGTCTAAATAAAGGTTTGAAGCTCAATATGATTCTAAATGGAAAAGGGGATTTAATTTATTCTGATAACATTTAAGATATTTATAATATTCACAGTGGGGGAAACGAATGGAATTCTGGGAAAATTTTATTTTCACCAGGAAATATCATCATCATGTATATATATTGTAATATATATATATATTTTTAAATGATGAAACGGCCTGCCAAACCTGTTATTCGCGCTGTGGGCCGTGATCACTCTGTGTCAAGTCCACGCTGCGCGGGATGAAAACAGGAAATCGGAACTTCCACCTTCAACATAAAAGCCACGAGCTTTTGGACTAACGTTTGAAAATCTTCAGATGTGCTCGACTCGTTACAGTTTTTATCTGCAGGAACATTTTATATACATTAATTTAAAAAAGAATAAAATGTTACAATGACGGCAGTACGTGCACAACGTTTGAGTATAATGAATTTGGTTTCTTCAAGTTTTTTTTTTGCAGATTGTAAATATGCACAAGTTTAGATAAATTAAGTTATAAATTAAGTAAATTAAGCACTGAGCATTTATATATTATCTAGTTTATTTTCACAGTTTAGCAACATTTGATATAGCTGTTAAATAGTTGTAGTGTTTTGTCAAGATGCTGCTGAAGTTGTCCTGCCACTCCCTGTAAACAGCTTATTATTATCTTTGTTATTATTGTTATTATTATTGTTATTTATTTTTAACTCCCTGTAATAAACAGCTCAGCTGCATCACATCTAGAGATCAGTCTAAGTGAATTGTTGCATGTCAGCAGAAGTAGAAGTTATAAATTTTAATTAGATTTTTACAACATTCTCTGGATAAAATTGTTGTAAATATCTTTCTATAGGTCACTCACTATTCAGCACTACTTGATCAGTTTGTTTTGTTGCCAACTATTTTTATTTAGTCTATATAATTTGTTGGTCATTGACACCTAAAATCATATAATAAATTTAAATGTTTTTAATGTCATTGTGTTAAACATAATTCTTTTGGTTAATTGAAGTCTGCTTTTGAGTTTAGCAACATTTCAACTCAAATTAATTCCGTTTATTTATAAAGCGCCAGTTCACAACAGAAGTCGTCTCAGGGCACTGAACAGAAACATTCTTGTATAACAACAATAAGTTAACAAAAATATTCATACAAATAATAATTTAACACTTTATCTGAGGAGCAGCCTGCTGGCATCTGTGTCAGGGGGCTCCAGTGTTTCTGTTCTTTTTGAGCTGATGTTTTAGTTCTTATTTGTAGTTTAATTTACTCTTCTCATCATGGTATGCATGATGGGGTGTATTAAAGTATTTTTACATTTAACTACCGTAAACATAAATAGTTTTATATTTGGTCTGTGCATTTGTAATTTTGCTCTGCGTCTCTTGGTCATTATTTTCAAAGTTTTAAATTATTTCTATTGGGGCCTTTTCATACTTCTCAAATATTTAATTTCTACCCTTGTCTTAAATTTTGTATCAAGTTGTTGATCGGAAAGTTTAGGGTTAGTTCCCGATTTATTTTGAAAAGCCAAACCGGAACAGCACCTTCTTCCTGTTGCTAGCTTGTTAGCTCCACGGAGAGAATCTGGAACTTCTTCCGGCCAAGTGCTCCATTCATCACCGAAGGTAAAACTGTAGCTGAAGGTTCCGCCGGTCCCGGTCCTCTCGTCCAGAACCGAACCGTCCAGAGACTTCCGGAGCGGGAGGAAATGAACCGGAGCGAGTTGAGCAGCTTCGACTTCGAGCGGCGTTTTGACGACAAGAGAGCTCAAGAATGGATGCAGGAAAACTGGTGAGAAACTTTCTAACGGTTACATCTTATTGATCATATTGATTTAAATTAAAAGAATACTGTAAGGGGATTAAAACGCCCGGGTTCGGTTCGACATAAAGAGGCGGAAGCTTCTGCACGTGGACTTTTTTATTCTTTATCTCTTGGCACCAACTAAAACTGCATTAAAATTATAAAGCTGCATATAATATACCGTAAAGCTAAATTATAATACAATTATAAAGGTGCATTATAATCCTAAATCATCCTCTTTCATCATCCAGTCAGATTTGTTCCACCTCAAGCAAATTTGCAGAAGATGTGACCTAGAGGAAGAAGGTAAATGATGAAGCGGAGGGTTCCGAGGACTGAGCCTTGGGGCACACCTGTGGAGATGGGGGAAGACTGAGAACGGAAGGATTCAAGATGAATGATTTGAGTGCGGTCAGAGAGATGAGACTTGAAGCAGTCTAACGGAGTACCTGAGATGATAATGGAGGTTAATCTGTCGAGGAGGATCGAATGACAGATGGTGTCGAAGGCAGAACTTAGATCCAGTAGAATGAGGATGGACAGAAGAGCAGAGTCAGCAGCAAGAAGAAGAAGAAGAAGGTCATTAGTGATTAGAGCTGTTTCGGTGCTACGGTGGTTTATGACTGTCATCACTCTGTTCAAATCAGGTCTCTCTTGTAAATGAGTCCCGGAGGCTCAACGGGGTTCACCTGCAGAAATAAAGGTTGAATGGGAAAAAAAATGCAGCTACTTTCAGGTAAACGTTGAAGCTCTAATCCAGATGTGGAGGGACGCTCCCTGGGCAGAAACTTGAGCCAAAGTTGAAATTTAATCCACCAGTTTAATGTTTTTCCTTCATCAGTTCTGCAGAGACTCGTTGAACCAGAAAGAGTGACTGTGCAGCGTTGCCCTGATCAGGTTTTAGTTCCTGCAGCACCTCCTCAGCTGCTTTTGGACCCGAGAATCTGAGCGCGTCAGAGCAAATCAATAATCTGCATCTTTCCCTCCCACAGCAGGTTTTTATTCAATCTGCTTTTCTGTCTTTCTGTCAGATCCAGATTATTTTACTCTCGTCCTCTCCTTGTTTTCGATGCAGGTGCAGATAATTGTGTTCGTCGTGACACATTTTTTAAGAACGGAGGTGTTATCTCACCAGGAAGTCCACGGGACGTCTCGTTCTCAGGTTCCTCGCAGGAGCAGACGTTCAAACGCGTTCAGGGAATTTGTGCGGCAGGTTTTCTCAAAACAGACGACAAACCAACAAAACGTGTTTGCTGAACAAACAAAACCGCTTCCAACAGCAGGGCAGAGGCTCAGCGTCAGCCGCTCGGGAGCGCACAGGTGTAAAATCACAGTGCCAAGGCGGAAAGACATCAGCAATGACCTCAGAAGCAGCTGCTGCTGTCCCTCAATCTGGGAAAGTTCAAAGTTCATTTCCAAAATGTTTGGAGTTCTGCAGAGAGAAAGATTATTCACGAGTGGAAAACGTGTAAGACAGCTGACAGGAAACTCACCCTGAAGGTCAGACTGTGCAGCGCTCAGACCAACGAGCTCCGTCTCAGACTCTGCAGGCCTCAGTTAGCAGGTTGAAGGTCAAAGGTCACAGGACAATTAGAAAAAGACTGAAGGAAGCCTCTTGATATGTAACCCTCCTGCTGCCCTGGGGTCAAATGATCCTCGAGGCTTCACTTTTAAGATCTCGTGGGTCGTTTTGACCCCAGGGCAGCAGGAGGGTTACATAACATGGCACTTGGTTTATTTTATGTTAAAGTGAAGTGATCAAACCTGGAGCAGGTTTTTATCGCAGCGTGTCTCTAAACGACAGCAGAGTTCTCCTGTTTCTTTCCTCGTTTGCTGTTTTTTAAAAAGCTAAATGTCTCGGACTCTGCAGGAGCACGTCCTTCGTGTTCTGCGGCCTGTACGCCGCCGTCGTCTTCGGCGGGCAGCACTTCATGAGGGAGCGGCCGAAGCTGGACCTGCGTCGGCTGTTGTCGCTGTGGTCGCTCAGCCTCGCCGTCTTCAGGTGAGTTTCCCTCGGACGCTGCGGAGCGAAGCGCAAACACACACCGGGTACGAAACGGTCGATCCTGACCGAGTCGCAGCACGAGTCGGGATTTACGGCGCGATTGCTGACTCATCATTTAGACACCCTGGTCGTCACATTAGTTGCTGTTTTAGCTGTTTATCGTTCGGCTCGGTTAGAAGCGAGTTTAACCTTTTTTACTTTTTGAATTCTTCAACTTTATTTACAAACTCGTTCTTGACAGAAATGAACCCAGATATTTTTCTAAAACATTTTTTTTAATCTTTCCGGTGAATTAAATTTTTTGACTTTGATTACGCTCCGTTTAGCTTTTAGTTTAGCATTTAGCCAGGAGTTTTGGTCATTTTGGTTTAGCTACATTTACTTATGATTTAGTTACTTTTATATTTTAGCTGTAAAAACTGATAAAATTATAAATTTGTTTATATTTTAGAGTTTTGCTGATTTGATCTTTTACTTAAGGATTTACAAATGTTAGCTATTACTTAAAGTTTTAGCAGTTTTAGCTTTTAGCTCTTGTTTCCTTAACTTCATCAGTTTAGGTTGAACTTTATTACAAACTTCAGAACATAATTATATTTAATGTGTCGACAGAGTCCAGGCTCCTGATCCGTTGCACGGTTGTGTAACTTTATTGAGCTCGTATGAGTGAAATGTAGAGTTTTATGGTTCAGCTGATGTTTTACTTCAGGTCGTTTCTTATAAACATCAAACCACGTCGTCCACTTTGTTCAAATTAAATGCGATCGCTCAGAGTTCAGACGGGTCAGATCAGGAGACGAATAAGTCGATTCTGTTTTTAAACGCCTCGACGTGAAGGAGAAGACGATGATGTCATCGTCTTAATGTCCTATAAACCTTTGTCTTGTTCACGTGTGAATTATGTGATTTGTAATTTCTTAATTCATCATTTCCTGTCAGAGGATCTGGAGAAGGCAAACTGTGAATTAAACAAAGCGTCGTGATTCTCATGTTTTGTTTTTAGGCCCAGAGGAACCTCGACCTGCAGATCGTTACACAACCATTAAAAATCATTTTAGTGTCAGGCGCCGTTACCGGTCCGACAACTTTCACCGGCCCGGCCCTCAGATCCAGTTTCTTCATTTCTTCATTAAGGAAATGGATAGAGGCCAAAATAATGTTTCCAATTAGTGTCTTCATCACGTGAAAGGTTTTTAATTAAAAATTATTATTTTTTTAAAGTCAGTTTCCTGCGGCCAGTTCAACGATTCGTTTGATCCTTTAGTTTCTGCACTAATCAACAAAAGCTAAAATGATCAAAACTAAGGCTAAAACGAGCAAAAAGCTGAAATGAGCAAAAGCATAACAAGCTAAAATTAGTAAGACTGTAGTTAAAAAATTCAATTAGTACAACTGTAAAAAACAAAATGAACAAGCCAGTAGGTAAAAGCTAAATATGTAGTGTAGCAAAACTGTAGCTTAAAGTTAAAATGAGAAAAGCATCACCAAGCTAAAACTAAGAAAAAATCATAGCTAAAAACAACATTGAGCAAAACTTTAGAGACTCAAATTAGCAAGACTGTAGCTAAAAGCTATAACAAGAACATTAGCTAAAACCTTAAAATGAGCTAAAATGAAACAAAAATCTTGATGAAGACTAAGCAGACGAGAACATGTCCAGCAGCTGAAGCAGATTTAAAGAAAGAAAAGTTTCAGCGTGTTTCTGTGGTTCTAAATAAAGTTTAAATGTTTTGAAAACTACAAAAGTTACAAAACCTGCATCGCGCTGATCTCGATCGAACTGAATGTTTTTACTATTTTAAATATTAAAGTATTCACAGGAAGTCAGAGCGTTAATGCTGAGGCAGCAGTAACCGAACCTGTGATGTTTGGACTCTAACAGAACGTTAAAAAGTTCCTCCTGACCCAACGGACCGCTCATGACGGCGCCAGTGAGCGATCAGATGATGAGCAGGTTCAAACCCTACGATAACGTGTTTACATGTTTGTTTACTCCTCAGTATTGTAGGAGCCATCCGGACCGGGCTGTACATGCTGCACGTCTTTACTAACAGCGGCTTCAAGGAGACCGTCTGCGACAACGACTTCTACTCCGCACCCGTCACAAAGTTCTGGGCTTACGCTTTTACCATCAGCAAGGCGCCGGAGCTGGGTGAGACGACGTTTGTGAACTGCTAACTACTTTCAGGCAGCTTTAGCTCTTAGCTTTAGCTTTATATACACATTAGCTCTTAGCTTTAGCGACACATTAGCTCTGTAGCTTTAGCTTTAGATACAAATTAGCTCTTAGCTTTAGCTAGAGACACATTAGCTCTGTAGCTTTAGCTTTAGAGACACATTAGCTCTGTAGCTTTAGCTTTAGAGACACTGTAGCTCTGTAGCTTTAGCTTTAGAGACACATTTGCTCTGTAGCTTTAGCTTTAGAGACACATTAGCTCTGTAGCTTTAGCTTTAGAGACACATTAGCTCTGTAGCTTTAG